TCACACCCTGAGTCAGTCCTAACACATACACCGTTTCAGTGCCTGGATGGAGGTTTTGTGGGAAGCTGATGTCTCCACTGCCAAAATTTGCACGAAAGAAGAAAGCTGGGAGTCCCTGAGTAACAGGAGTCCAAAAGGAAAGGGAAGAAGACCTTATTGGTGCCACGGAACTGGTAAAGGATCTCAGCTACGATGAAGTCCACTAGCATCAGCATGTCCTCCGGCTTTGCGCCCAGGGCTGCTTGCCCATAGCACAGGATCAAGGTCGTGCGAATCTGCCTCTCCGTAGCATTCCTCGTCTCCTGGTGAAGGGAAAAAAATTGGAGAAATTTAAGGAACACGTGAGGTAAATTACCCTTTGGGTTCATGGGGATCTCTTCAGCAGCCACCAAATTTGCTAGTGGAATTTCATTCATTCATTCGTTTGTTTGTTTATTCAGTTGCCCCCTCTATCCCCAGAGGGGAACCAAGATGGCTCACAGCCCTTAGAAACGCTGTACTGCAGCTAAAACTGTGTTCACGACCTGGGTTCAAATCCCAAGTAGCGGCTCAAGGTTGACTCAGCCTTCTATCCTTCCGAGGTCGGTAAAATGAGTACCCAGCTTGCTGGGGGGGCAATGTGTAGCCTGTATAATTAAATTGTAAACCGCCCGGAGACTGCTTGTAGCGCTATGGGGCGGTATATAAGTCCAATAATGACAGTTAACAACCTATCTGTTTAATGACAGCTCAGACGTCCGCCTGTCTCAACCCCTCGTAAATGTGTGCTTGCGTCTTCACTAAGCTCCTTCCTGACGGCACCTCCCTTACTAGTCCTGCATACTACAGTATTAATGCTCCTCACTTATTGACCAATTTGCTTAACGACCTAGTTGTATGAGGAGTGCCCGTATACAATGCTAGCAGGTTTAAAATACTATACGAAAACCATATTTTTTAAAAAAGCAATTGAACATGAGTCAATATTAAACCTAGATTAAAAACACATTTATAAAAATTTAAAAACCTCTAAATCTAACAATTACAGCATTTACCAGACCTCCAGTTTTTGCCTTAAAACTGGCTTGAAAAGGGAGGTTTTTGGCTGGGGATGGAGGGACCAGAGGGAGGGGACCAGCCTGGCTTTTTGGGGAGGTGGCTCACGCCAAATCCTGGGAGCAGCCACGGAGAAGCCCCCCCCTCTCGTGTCCTCACCAAACGAGCTTGGGAAGGTGGTGGAACCGAGAGAAGGGCTTCCCAGGAAGATTGCTAAAAGCTGAGAACGCTCATATGGAGTGATACAATCCTGGTTCTGATGTCACGTCTGAGATGTGACTTGCCTTCAAGAAACTGATATTAAGAAGGTGCGCTGAGCACACAGACACCCCTTATGCATTTGAGGCGTGTGTTAATTTAATTAATTTAATATAATTTAGCGTGTGTAAGCTAAACTCAGTGCCCTACTATGTCCATACACATCTCTGATAAAGCCAGTATGATTCAAGCATGGAGTCCTTTAAACTTCTAAAAAGCAACTCAAGAAAAAAAAAGGGGAGGGCCTCTCTCCTAATTGATGCTCTGACCCTCAGCCCTCACAGGTAGAAAGTACTGGATCGAAGTAACAAAGGGGAATTATACTGATGTAAGAAGTATACTTAAAGCTGAGAGTAACTTTGTGGAAAACAGGGCTTCTACAGCGGGTCCATCTGCTCATCTTCTCAGTAATGATGCTCAGAAAAGGTTCCCTTCAGTCTTAAAAGCTGTATTTGGGCATAATAGTTTCCTGTGGCTTATCATTATGTGACAAAGTTCATAGGAGCCCTCCCCTCCCCATCTGCTTCTCCAGTGCCATTGCACAGCAGAGAGAGAAAGCCACACTTCCATTTTTTATTATCAACCACAATCTGGTTCCTTAACCTCAGCATTCCTGCAAAAGACAGACAAAATTGTCATTAATCTTAACTACCAGAATAAGCCAACTTCAAAACATGGTCTATGAAGCTGGCTAATTTCAACAAACCATAGTTAAGATAAAACACAGTTTAAGGTTCAGATATAAGTCTATATTGGGTAAGTTCAAAATGGAAGAAGTGTTTGTCTTTCTCTCGCAGCTGTGCTGGAAGAAGAGAGAGGGCTACACAATCCTGGTTGTTCCTCTTCTGGTACACCATAGTGTACTGTCACATCAGAATGAGGTAACTCTGCAAGTAAGATGAGGCAAACAGTTCCTCCATTCCCCAGCAAGCAACGTGGGCCACTTCCCCAGACAACATCTCCTGACTTCCATCCCATTCAGAATTTGGAGAATTCTTCCTTGAGTGAATTGGGATAGCTTGGTGGCTTAGGCATCTGGTTGCAAAGCCAGAGGCTGGGAATTTGATTCTCCACTGGGCCTCTTGGAAAGGAGTTGGACACAATGATCCATAGGGTCCCTTCCAGCTCTGGAGTTCCAATATTATACATTACTGAGATAGAAAGATGCTAAAGCTACTCATCACTGAAGAGCAGAGCATCGTCCAGCAGCTCGCTCTGTGTCTCCATCTTCGCCTCTTTCAACGTGTCCGTTGATGTTCCATCTGTCCCTCTCTACCTACTCGTTCCACTGGAAAGGTGGCCTGTTCCCTAACTCCTGGGGACGCCTCTCTATCAAGAATGCAGAGAGCTTCCTGAATATTAGGAGACCATCTCCAAATCGCTGGTTCCCACGTATGAAATATCCGCTGGCAGGCACTCACAACGTCTGATATTCTTTTCAAAATGACATCTGAAACGTACTTACAGGGGACGTTTCCTGGCCTTCCATACTGAGAAACCGAACAGATCCCGTTGCCTTTTTTGCATTGCAACTCACAAGCCATGACAAAGAGCCTGCTCTGAGATGTGTCAGGGTATGTTCCTTTCCAACACAGCGCTAGATTTTTAGATAACATAGGGGTAGACAGATATAATCCACCAGGGGAGAAAGGTGGGACAATCATAAAATAAAATATCCTAGTCATTATGAGAACGAGCCACGTCAACCTCAAGCTCCCAACTCCTCCCTCCTTGTTCCTACTGGTGCACAGTAACCAGGAAGGGATTTGGTTTAATTTAACCAATGTTTTGTCTCCTGTTTGACCTCTAAACTGTGGTTAGTCTTAACAATGGTTCACAGCTTCCTATGGTTTGAAGTTGGCTTGTTTGAAACCCACTATGAATTTTTCCATACTGTTTCTTGAATTTGGACAACACGGTCAGCTGTGATTAATCCAAAGAAGAAACACTTCTGAACTTCGAACTCCAGGAGGAAGGTGGATGCGCATGAGCCTAAACCAGTGGTTCCCAACTTTTGGTCCCCAGGTGTTCTTGGACTGCAACTCCCAGAAATCCTGGCCAGCACAGCTAGTGGTGAAGTCTTCTGGGAGTTGCAGTCCAAGAACATCCAGGGACTTGAAGCTGAGAATACAGATGGGTATGAATTACTGATTCGACAGGATTCGTTTTCTGGCTGAACAGCTGATCTGTGGGTTCAGCGTCTCACCCCCTCCAGCGAGTGCCCCCTTTGTGCCGGTGTCCAGACCGGCTTCTTCTGGATGCTGCCACCGATTGGGTACCTGCTGGAGGGGGAGGGGTGTTGAAGAGCGAATTCACCTGGAAACGAATTGTGCTGAACCGCCGAGCCAGCAGTGGGCGCCCACCTCTATTTCAGAACCACTGGCCAAGAGAATAATTCTACATGCAGTGCTAAACCTCTGTTCAATTTTATGTCTGCACCAATCTAGACTAAGAAGGATTTGTAAACGAAACAGTGAATAGCGCTAGCTAAGGATGCAATCTGCAAAGTTCTCTCCCCCTAACTCTATGTGCCAGCAGGCTCATGTCATAACTTAGCAGTCTCACCTCTGGTATCACCTCCGGCTGCGTAGCTTTTCTTGATGGCACCAAGTGTCCGTAATCTCTCAGCACACCCAGGATCTCAGGTAGGTGGCAGAAGGCAACCACTCTGATAGTTTCAGAGACTCCCTGGATTAAATAACATGTGCCAGGGTTGTCATTACCTTTTGCAGTCATTGCCAGCCATAGTGTGTTTTCTACTAGGGATTCATACTAACCAAGACGGTCAGACGTTTTTTAAAAGTCTCTTTCTTGCGTTCTTTGCCTAAATTCTTCCTGCTCTGTGGGATCTCCTAATTTTGTCTCTTTGGAGATGAACATTCACAAAAGGAAGTCACACACACAAAAAAGGGCAGGCTTCTTTTTTTAGGGCAAAGGTAACCCCCCCACCCCACCAATTTCACTGTTTCTGAGCTGAAACCAGTGTCTTCACCCTCCAGAATCCAGGATTTATCCAGAGATTTATCCTAGGCTTACGTTTTTTTGCCTTGAATTCCTGGTTTCTAACCTGGGGATTTCTGTTGGCC